CCCCCCGCTAAATGCATCCCCGACTTACCCCGTGTCTGGTGAATGTGTCAAACTCAGCCATACTGTAACCACAACTACCATCACCATAGATTATCCACACTTCAGAATCAGGACGACATAACTTCGCACCCATAGCAAACCCTCCACCAACACCCAGAGTACCAAATGCTCCAGGATCTAACCAACGTAATGGACCGCGTGGCCTGTGCAATAAAACGAGAAGAAAATTCTATTTTTGGCAATTTAATTTTACAAGATTTATTCCTGATGACGATGACTGCAAGTTAATTGAAACTTTGAGTGGAAATGTCAACCGTATTCGGAGTGTCCATTGTTTTGTATGAACAAGCGTGTGTTGTGTTTCGTCTCTGGTATAAATAAGTCATTATTCAGGGCATTTTTTTAAGAAATTACAACTACTGGGGCTAACGGCCGTATTCTAAAAGCTCACACTCAATGAGTGGAAGTTCAATCTGAGCTTCTCCTGAGTGTCAATGCTGTTTTTGAATAGCTGGAGGGTGAGTAGTCACCGAGTAAGGTATGACACTAGCCCTCCAGCTATTCAAAAACAGCAATGACACTCAAGAGAAGCTCACATTGAACCTCCACTCATTGAGTGTGAGTGAGCTTTTAGAATACGGGTGTAAGTCTCAATGAGGGCCTTTCCCCATACAATTACGCGTACATAAAGACCATGTTGTGTTCACTTTTATAAGATGGAATGTGGAGAATGTGAGAGGTTATGAGAAAGCAGGCAGATGCAGCTTTTTCAACAAGGACGACTTTTTACTAATGATCGAAAGGGCCCAGCTGAAAATGTTGCTTCACTACTGGGGCAAGCAAAGGGCCTACTGGGGTAAATGCCACAGTGGTTATATAGTTAAAAATGCCCTGTCATTATTACCGCAGTATATAAGCTGCTGATCCAACGAAGTCTCCGCCATCAGCAACAATCACACTATCTTCATTCATGACTTCTTCCAGACAATGTAAAATCTTGAGAGGATTTAAATGTTTATCTACCATCTCCTCTGCTTTCACACTACATCACAACAAATATCTCGTGTTATACTGACTGTATCAACTTTAACCGGTGATGATGGTGGTGGTGATGATGGTGATGATGATGATGATGGTGGTGATGATGGTGGATGATGATGATGATGATGGTGATGATGATGGTGGTGATGATGATGGTGGTGATGATGATGATAGTGGTGATGATGATGATGATGGTAGTGATGATGATGATGATGGTGATGATGATGATAGTGGTGATGATGATGATGATGATGGTGATGATGATGATGGTGGTGGTGATGATGATGACGGTGGTGGTGACGGTGGTGGTGACGGTGGTGGTGATGATGGTGGTGATGATGGTGGTGATGATGATGATGATGGTGGTGATAATGGTAGTGTTGATGATGGTGATGATGATGATGATGGTGATGGTGATGATGATGGTAATGGTAATGATGATGATGGTGGTGATGATGATGATGATGGTGATGATGATGATGATGGTAATGATGATGATGATGATGGTAATGGTAATGATGATGATGGTGGTGATGATGATGATGATGATGGTAATGATGATGATGGTAATGATGATGATGGTAATAATTATGGTAATGATGATGTGATGGTGATGATGATGGTGGTGATGGTGATGATGATGGTAATGATGATGATGATGATGGTATTATTAACACTGGATAGCTCTACTAGTTCGTATATGCTTTAATACAAGCAATTATGTTCATTATAACAGACCTATTGTCTTTCTCCTTTTGTTCATCCCTGTCTTTCAACATGAGAGGCCATTCTTCGGGACATTTATATCCTTTTAACTGTTCACTCAGGGATAACACCAGCAATGCAGGATCACCTGGGGACATTAGGGGATCAAAATTATTAACATTTAATTTCAAATGTCAAATTCAACAGATTCCAATTCAAATTACCTTGAATAGCTAAAGTCGGTTTCCAGAACATATCAGAATTCTGAAAAAAATAACAAACGTGAACTACCAATTAATTCTTGAAGTGCTTACGTAAACACAATTTTTACTTTTCAAACATTAGGTATACGATGTGCGATACATGTGGTCAAATAGTTTAGTTTAGTTTCATAGATTTACCACAGATTACATACGAAACATATTACAGACAGTAGTTACAGTCTGTGGCAGGGAATGAAAACAGGACAAAAGTCCCAATTGACATTCAATGCCTCATTGTTTGACAGTGATGTGACGTAAAGACTTCTAAGATCAATTCAAGATTCGAGCGAAGAGAGGACAGTAACAAAAACAACTAACAAAACATCACGAATGAAATAGTAGACTAAAATGTTCCATGTGCGTTGATGAAAGACGTTCTATTGAATATGAACAGTAGTTATAGTCTGGCGTCATTAAAGTGGGGACCGCTGGTAGCAGCCACATTTCAGAAACAACTTTCTTGCACATTTTGTAAAACTTTTACAACCAGAAGTTAGAATATAAATTTTATAATTCTTATTTATTATATATTTTACTATCATATAGGGACACTGACAAGTTAAAATTTCTTGAGAACAACTACCAGTGCACGGTGCAAATGCATGATTGTGAGTCTGAGGCTCTGAGCTTAAAATTCTCGATTTCTTGGGCAAAAAATATATAAAGCCATAACTCATAAGCCAGCCTACTAATCGGTATCTACAGCAATTCATGGCTGATGGCTCATCACGTTGTGATTTCGTATGTTGCATGAAGATATTTTGCATGCACATTTTCAAATAATTTGTGTGGTCGAAGGTACACAAAAAAGTTAAAGGCCCCTGGTTACAATACCTTGTATAGTTGTTCTTTATTTCTGTTCACGGCGATAATTTTACTTCGTTTATTCAACACTCGGCCATACGAAAGGCGAAAATCACAAACAGTACCTGGGAAAAATATTGAGAGTAGTAGATCATGAGTTAAGTTTTTCCAACCAACAGGTTACTACAGGAGGAGACAAGATGCACTCTTCTCTCGTGTGATTGAGGTGAAATTACAGTCAGACAAGTGCATATTGCAGGAATCAGAGCTTGGTCACAATCACACCTACACCAATATACACCATACCTGCCAGGATGACAACATCCGCTTCTTTCAAAGCGTCACGACGTCGCTGTCTGACATGAATAGGACTGTTCCTTCCCAGCAAACCACGCGACATTCCGCCAAGGAAACATGGGATACCCAAAGACTATGTGAAGGAATAGATATATGTAACACAATGGAATATCACGTGCTGTAAAAACGATACCAAATTGTCAAAAGAAGATTTACTTAGAGGACAACAAAAATGTTTGTTTTACCTCTAAAGCAGATTTAAGTTTTTCTGCGGGTGCTGGGGGCAGTGTTGACTGACTCCCGAGAATTACGAGAGGCTTTTTTGCTTTCGATACCAACTGTACAGCCGCTGCAACTATAGGACAGAAACAAGTGTCATCACCATCACCATCACCATCACCATCACCATCACCATCACCATCACCATCACCATCACCATCACCATCACCATCACCATCATCATCATCATCACTACCATCACTACCATCACAATCATCACCATCATCACCACCATCATCACCACCATCATCATCATCATCATCATCATCATTGCCATCACCATCTCCATCATCACCATCATCACCATCATCATCATCACCATCATCATCATCACCACGGCTGGAAGGCGATCCTTCGTCGTCTAAAAATTGTCTCGTGTATTACCAGCTCTAGGTAGAACCCCAGGCTTACCTTCCTTATCAGATGCTCGAGGTATGGAGACTGGTAATGGCTCAACTGCTTGTGGCTCCCAAGCTCCAGCGAATAAACTGAATAAATGATTCTTAATATACCTGAAAATACAGATATATGTAACAAGATAATATATTTATGCATCAGTGGTGGATAAATATCGCCTTAAATTTCTAACGAAGTAGCGAATGGGATATCTATATATAATTATGTATACAAATAGTTCAATAGGTAAACATCTTACCAATTCACAATTTTTTGTCCCAATCCAGCAGGATTTTCCTAAGGTAGAAGCAAAAAATCATTGTCATTTGTCTTCGCTTACCAAACTGACAGCACATCATCGAATGGCGTGTTACGCGAGGCACATTGCTACAAGCCTGAAACATGCACAAATTCCAACACAGAACCATGTTATGCAATAATGTAAAAATACTGGCAGGGAAATTGAGAGCAATGTCCATATTTTTTTCATCTGACATTCCGCTTAATCAACATGGGCAGCCAAGTAAACTCCCGCTATGCATCGTTGTTCTATGACTACTTTTCTCAAACATAACATGGCTCTGTGTCAGAAATTTGAGTAGAAAGAAAAGTTGTTCGCATGTGTACATGAACATCGCCTTTCTAGCACATCAGATTATCGTTGTCAGAGGCCGCGGAAGCATTTCGAAAGTGGAGGGGCATTGAGCAAAAGGGGCACTTTTGTATATGACCAAAATCAAACGATTTTATGTCGTTCACGAGCGGAACCAAAATATTTTAAAATATGGAGTCTCTATAACGTCGGAAATGGCCTTTACAGAGTCTTTGTTACTGCAAAAAGGGCACTTTTTCACTTTTAAAAAAGTGTGTGTGGGGGGGGGGGGAGACACATGCCCCCATTGCCCCACCTGTCTGTCTGCCGTACCTTCAAGCCAACTTCTTTCTTAACAAGAGGATAGGGATACAATGTGTCAATAGGAAATTCAACAAAGACTGGACCAGGTGTTCCCGATTGAGCGACCTGCATTGCTTTCCTCACTAAGCTTGGAATGTCGCGAACCCTGAAAGATAACCAGACAATATTATACTTGTCAAGGCAAGAGTCATGAATGTTTATAGCTCAAACGTCTATATAGGAAATTCTCCTTATATATTTTCAGGTAGTTGCATGCCTACCAACGAAAGGTTGTTCATTTGATTGACCTACACTGGCAATAGACAGTTCAAGATTATGTATAGGATTAAACGTAATTTTTGTACCTTTTAACGGTGACACAGTATTTACAAAGAGGTTTGAAGAGAGACATTTGGTCAATATCTTGAAGAGCGCCTCTGTCCTGATGGAAATAAAATAAAACAAGTTAGCCGCACGCATTCCCGTGGGAACAAATGGACTCGGACGATATTGCGCACACTTCCCAATTCGCGCAGTCTTGCAGGAACATGTAGTAATGCCCAGATGAAACGAGGATGTATGAGAGTTGGTAGTCACGCGATCTTGGTTAGCTGTTCTTAATGCTTTCCCAACACTATCATGTATTCTATTGAAGTTAAAACATAGTTGAAACACCCATCAAACATTTATTTTGTTAATCTAGAGCATGAAATATCCGCTGCGACAGGGGGTGCTAACTATCTTTCCTTGCAACTGAGTTGCACAGTACGCTGGTCAAGCGTGGCCGAGTCGAAGGCTCACTCAGGCTCACACACGGAGCACAGAGAAGGTGAAAGAAAATCTCGAAGTATTGGAGAGAACCAACCAAACTTTACTTAAATACGTTTTCAGGTAGATGAAGCCGGAGCAAGGCAGTCAACAATAGTAATGGCGTTCAGATTTTGACTTCCACTACCATTAGGGGTGCACCGGAACACGATTTTTCAGAGTTCCGATTCCGGCAGGAACTAATATAAAAAGCATGGCCGGAACCGGAATTCTGTTGTTTTCAGAGAGATAGAAAATCAAACGTTTTTGTGTCTAACAAAAGTTCAAAGTAGGAGGAATTTGGACTACGCAAGGAAAATGTACACTATTAACACTTCATTATTAACAATTATTGAATGAGGTTGAGTACGATATGATGAATTATCAAGCCCGAAGTTCGCCGTTATCAACCGAAGCCGAAGGCCGAGGTTGATAACGGCAAACTGAGGGCTTGATAATTCTTCGTATTGTGCGAAAACCGAATTCAGTAATTGTTTTATTATTTATTTTAAAAATTCAAAACAAACATTTGTATTTTATTTGTATTGAGAAAAAAAACAATTCCTCAGTCCTTCGGCAGCCGTCGTCGCGTCATATCAATGGCGTCAGTGAGTCAATATGATTCTCGTCGTCATAGTAATATGGCGCAAACACGTCCAAAGTTTTTTCATATTGACGTCATTTTGCTATTATGAATGTGAAAAATCCATATTTGGCTAGCCATTGAGTTGATATGACAATTTCACAGTTGGCTGTTAGCCAATAAATAATAATGACGTTTAATTAACGTTTGTCAATCTTTTTATTCTAACATTTGCGAGCTCTCTCCTTGATGACTTGAAGTGTCTGCCTGTCTGACAGCGGACAAAGTAACATATGACCATATATGGCTTAATAAATCAGTTTCGGTTCCAGTTCCGGTCGGATAGGGCAGGAACTTAAAAATTCGTTCCGGTGCACCCCTAACTACCATTACCCAATCAGTTTTTTTTGCAGCGTACTAGCATAGAATAAAGATTCATATAGAAGGGCCACTTACGTCGGAAGCTTTGAAGTTTCTGTCCTCGCGCATGTCGCATTACGCATGTTGGCCGCCATTTTCCTAGCCAGTCAATGACATTTTCTGGCCAATAAACACACTGTACTGGCTGGCTGCTCCGCCTTCTGGCCAGTAAACTGCATATTTTTGCATAAAAAAACGAGGACATGTTGCACCGCTGAGTGGCCCTTCTGTTACTGATCTTTATTCTGTGGTACTAGCGCACCATCTCCCGTTCTTCGCAACTTTCCCCCGACTCTTCGCTCGCATAAGACTTTTTTTGCTTTGGGTGGAGTAATAGCCCAGCCCAATCAGGCCAGGCTGCCAAAAAATCCTAATTCATTAGAATTAGAGTGCTTCCAGTTTGACTCTACCAAACACCCTATCTAAGCTAGCTAACAATTGGGGGCACAGTGGTTAGTGAGGGATATTACGTCCCAGGTCGTATTTAAATCTTAAATACCGTTCTAGTTATTACGGTGCACTATACTTACGCATGCGCAGTTAAAACAAACTAAATTTTTCTTTTGATTTATTAAAAACGCGCATGCGTAAAATAAAACATATTCCATAAGAATTGAACAGAATTTTAAGGTATTTAAAACAAGGAAAATTAAATTGAGTTGGGTAACAAACAATTTGAGTGATGAAATTTAAGTGATGATGATGGTGGTGATCGTGATGGTGATGATGTGATGTGATGGTGGTGATGATGATGTTGATAATGGTGATGATGATGGTGATGATGATGATGGTGATGATGATGATGTTGATGATGATGGTGATGATAATGGTGGTGGTGGTGATGATGATGATAATGGTGATGATGATGATGGTGGTGATGATGGTGGTGATGATGGTAATGATGATGGTGGTGATGATGATGATGGTGGTGATGATGGTAATGATGATGGTAATGATGATGGTGGTGGTGATGATGATGGTGGTGATGATGATAATGATGATGATGGTGTGATGATGGTGGTGATGGTGGTAATGACGATGATGGTGATGGTGATCATGATAATGGGGATGATGGTGGTAGTGCTGATCATGGTGGTGATAATGGTTGGTGATGATCGTAATGATGGTAATCAAAAAGTTTAATATCTTACCTTCAACAAGGTAGCAGCAGCACCACCAATCAGCAGTAAGGGTGACTCTGCCATCTGAGCATTCTTGACAGCCGTCACAGTGTTTGTCAAACCAGGACCTGCTGTGACGGCAACCACTCCAACCACGCCCGACAACCGTGCTACAGCATCTGCGGCAAACACGGCCGAGACCTCGTGACGTGTGTCAACAATTCTTATCCCCAGTTTTTCACATGCTACCAGTATTGGTGAGATATGTCCACCACATAAGCTGAACACATATTTCACACCATGAGCCTAGATTGAGATGAAAAAAGACCTTGCAAGGCTTCCTCCCAAATGAGACTTTGTTTCATATGCATATTGCAAGGGCAGATCTAGCGTCATCTGCAAGGAGGGGTGCAGGTTTTCCATGGGGTGGTGCATGAGGGAGCCTTACTGCCTACTCTCTTCTGCAGTCTGCAACACTACTATCCAAATATTACCATCATTTGAGAGGCCGAATTTCATTTGGGCCGAAAATGGTAGCAATTTCCACACGCAATACAAAAGTATACAAAATTTGCAAACTTTGCAAGGCTATATTTTCCGCATTTTACAACATTTCGCAACCATTTTTACAACATTTCGCAGCAATTTTACTCATTTTAGTATGTTCTTTCGAGCTGTGGTGATTTATTTGCATCTCTTTGCCTAGTTTTAAAATTAATCTGTAATGGGGATTGTCTATTGTCATATTGATGGTAAAAGTGGAGTTTTTCATTCATGCAAAAACTGAACTCTTTCTTACAGTTATTGCCTATTGGTCATTATATTTCCCAAATGGTAAATTAGTAAAACCAGGAAGTTTCAATATTTAATACCTCTAATGATATTTAAATTTTTCCCCTGTCATCCCCAGGGCCCCCCAAAAAGCACTTGTGCAAAATTTATTTCCATTCAATAATATAACAGACCTGCAAAACATTGGCTACCAGTTCGCCACCATGATGCTTTGACAGTTCATCGAGCTGCAATAAAATTTTTGTTGGTTTTTAGAAAGTTTGACAGACTTTGACCTTTGAAAACTAAACACATTTTGTCACCAAATTTTGCTTAAAATATCCCACTTACCTTAAAAAGGAATCTGTAATGAAGTTTCAGTTTATAAATACCAAAAGCAACTGCAATAACGAGCAAAAACAACGAAAAATAAACCAAGGAAAATATGAGAAATATAGCTCGTTCACTTGCCATTTTGGAATTTTAAATTTGGCTGAAATTCGAGATCGTACACTGTCGTAAATGGTCGGACAATTATTGCACAATTAAGTTTTACTCATTTTTCTTAATATAAACCTAAATGTCCGTCAAAATGGTGTTAAACAGATTAACAATACATAAATTGTACAAATATATTTTGTTATTATAAAAGTTTTCAAGAAATAATGAAAAATGTGTTCAATTTATGAAATATACTCGTAAAGCCGAATAGATTCCGGAAGGGTCGAAACTACTCCTGGCGTATGATAAGTGAGAATTGTTGTAATTCAAATAAACAAAATGGCCGCTGTCAAGGAGTGAGTTTTGGATTGACTTTTCATTTTATCTTATTTCTACGTGTTTGGCGCGTTTTAAAGTATTAAAATGAAAGGGTCAAGGAAAAGGCAGCCTGAAGTTATTGTTTTTGAAGAACCAGCGCGAAAACAAAGGAGGCATAACGTGGTAAAGACTATTAAAAGCGTCAATATCTCAAACAAGCAAATATTACATTTTTTAAGCTCAATCTAAATCCTGAAAATTTGTTTAGAGACAAGAAAGATTTCCAAGTACAAATCACGATGTGGGAAGTATAAATTTTAAAGAAATAGCTAGAGAAGTTAGGGAACTAGGTGTGTACAATGTGAAATTAAAACATGAGAATATAAGGGATATTAAAAGACACTGTGGACAAGTAGATTTTGTCATGCTTTGCGACTTGTTCTGCAATAGACCTTATGCATAATGACGTCACAAGGCTTGATGCCCGCGAGGAAATGCTGGTCTTAGTAGTCATCGCCCGGGAAAATTAAACAATTCAAAATGGCCACTATTGAAATTTTCCCAGGTGATGACTACTAAGACCAGCATTCCTCGCCGGCATCAAGTCTTGAGACGTCATTATGCATAAGGTCTATTACTTTAACCCCCACCCCTATTATGGATTTTGCTGTCTAGTTTCCCAGAATGTTCAGTTTTTGTCACAATTTTTTTAACAATAATGGATTCTTAGCTGCAAAGCAGGACAGAATTTATTCATCAATGGTCTTAAAAGATTTTATGGAAGATGATGAAAGTCACTTTTTCATCGGCATTTTTGACTGTTTTACAACAATTTTATTAAGGTGTATCGGGTTTCAAAAAGAAGGACCAAAGAAGATATAAACAACAGCACGCTCAGGCATTAGGAGCAAAGGTATGCTGTTTAACCCATCAAGTGCCCTCCCCTTGGCAAGTAAAACCATCTGGCATTAGACAGAGTAAAATAATAAAGTAGGGCATTGTCAGGGCACAGTGCAACTTAATGGTTAAATTGCATTACTGTGTATTACTCTATCTCATTTTTATTCATTCCAAGGCTCCAAAGAAACAAAAAATGCCATATCCGTTGCTGATGGAATTGAAAAAGATTAAAGACGAGAAAGAACAAAAGAAGAAAGAATTGGTGTGTTTCATATTTTCTGAAAAAAAGCTTGTTTATATATGATTGACAACACTATAGTTTAGAACCTATCCAGTCAGATTTCCTAATGATGAAATTTTGTTAACAGGAAAATGCAATGGGGATATTTAAGAAGAAGAAATCTGATAAGGACAAACAAATTCTTCAAGGGTAAAATTAATAAATAAATTTATTGGAGTATAAATACAGAGTAAAAAATTTACTGACCTTCTTAAGAAGAATCTTCACTTGAGACAGTGAAATGCTCTACTATGTAGTTCAGAAACACAAGCCATGGAAGCTTACTGTGGAATACTACCTACACTCATTGGACCCATGTTTATATAACTATATATGTTCTATGTTTTTGCTAGGTCTGGTCGTTGGGTCGACAGAAGCAAAGGTCTCGACGGCGGCAAATTCAAGAAAGGTGTTCGAAAAGTCAAACAGAAAGACGTTGCTAAATTTAAAAAGAGCAAAACATAGGAAGACCACAGGGAGGAATATAAACCTGGATAAATATATAGTTATGTGTTTTAATAAATTCTTATTTATTCAATGTTGTGTTAAATTTGTTTTGAGATGCAACATTTCAAGCCTCGGCTAACGAACACTGACAGATGCAACTGCACTTGAAATGTGGAAGCATTTCAAATCTTTTAGGCACACAAACCATAGCAACTTTATTTCAAACCAAAAATGCTTTTTTGTATCAAGACATAACAATAATCTAAAGCACTTGTTTTATGTACTAAATTAATATAGTACTGTAAGTATTAAATTATTTATCTGCCTTTACAGTAGTAGAAAATAAAGTTTATCAATTTCCAATTTATCAACAAGACAAGCTTTGAAAACATTATATGCATAACAAAGCATGCCAACGAAGAATAATTACATTTCAAACAAACTCAGCTTCTCAACTTTAATTTCCAATTACACACCTGGCCTATTAATGCTATTATCATTATTATGCAATAACTAAGGGGAAATATCTCATATAGCACAATTCTCCCTTTACTAATAGTGTTATTGTACAAAATGGTAAAGAAAACCTTTTAAATTTTCTTTTAATGGGCGTGCTGTAAGCCCTGTCACAAACTATCAAAAAATATGACTTGTCACGAAATGCAAATGAATGCTTGTACACACAGCTGCTGGTGAAAATAAACTAAATTTAGCATCTGAAAGTTAATTGTAATTATAATATCATTTCATTTTCTATAATTCCATAGAATCTCATTTTTTTTCCGACATGTATTCTATAGAAACCCGCGATTCTTAATTGCAACATCGCTGTACTTCTGTATAAAGTCATTAGAATCTTTTTCAGAAATTCCAATTAACGCCTTAGCAACAAGCTAGGAAAATAAATCGCTTTTGTTTGGCCCACAGAGTAGAGAATCGCTAAATAAAGAGCAATCAGCCGAAAGTAGAATCCAGAAATAATCTTTGACCCCCAAATAAACAAGAATGAGTAAAGAAATGTTTTTTTCATGTGGACAAAACGTTTCTAATGACAAGCGCGGCGCGTCGCGCTAATTTGTACTATTTAATTAATTGCAACACTTGTACATAGAATATAATTCTATATTTTTCTATTAATCTTTTCAACCACAACTACAAAAGGCAACATCTTTAAATACTAGACTATTACAGCAGAAAAATGCTATTCACGTGAGCGGAAATTTAAGCGGATTAATTCGTTCGTTCTTTAAATCGCTGTGTCGAAACTTAATGGGCGAAATCAATGAATTTTTGTAGATTCTCTCAAGTAAGACTAGCATTTCAACTACACCAGTTCAAACGTAAATCAAGGTTTTATAATAGGCACTAGATATCCGATGTTATATATAATCAGTCAATGTACAAGCGTGTTGTTTACCTCGCATACAAAACATGAAACAGTTCCCAAATCATAGTTTATTGAAATCGTCGTATTTTTGTTTCCAATTCTGCGTCGCTCTTTTAACATCGTGTCGTTTGGGTTTCGGTCTCGCTGCTGCCATGTCGAGCTTTGAAGATGGATCAGCCGTGCCCGAGCCGTTCGAAAATTGAGTTGTTGTTGTTGTTGTCGTTGTTGTTGTAGCGCTAGCGACCTCGGCCGGCGGTTTGCTTTCTTGCACAATTTCTGGAGGACTTTCCGCTGGGATTTCTGCAGGTTTCGACTCGGTGGTTGTTGTTTTAGGAATAACTTCTTCGTAACCATCGTCGTCATTTTCGATTTCTTGTGCGGCTTCCTCGTCGACTTTCGGCGTTTCAACAACTACGGGTTCAGGTGGGAGTTCGACATTTTGAACGTTATCCGCACCGTCTGTGCCCATCGTTTCAACGGCTTCTCCCGCCGCCACATCGTCGCTAACATGGTTCTCTTCAACTGCAGGTTCTGCTGGCCGCTCAGTCGGTGTTACAAAACGATCTTGCGGTATTTTCTCACCCATTTGCTTATAATATTGATCGCACGGTTCATCAACAACTAACAATGTAACCTGATTTCCCCCTGCTCTTATGCGCTCGACAACTTTCGAATGGGGTAAATCTTCGACGTCCTCATTATTCACCGCAATTACTCTGTCTCCGACCCGTAAATCATTCCTCTGGGCAGGGCTGCCATCGTCAATCGCACTTATATACTGTCCATGTATGCCCTTTTCGCCGTGAAGATTAAATCCGTAACCGTCGGCAGCTCGATGTATTGTGACTTTTCTCGGCAGGCTTGGAGGTTCTGGTTCAGAATGAGCAATATCCCCGTTCATAATAACCTCTTTTAGCTACACAAGTGTTTTAAAAGTGTCTTAAATTGTTTTAAAACGCTCCAGAACGACTTCAAATGCGAGTCTCCCTCTTTCGACACAAGTTCAACACAATCATGATACATTCCAATCGTGATACCATATAAGGAAACTCGTGCTCAGGACAATACAATACGACCGCGGGGGTTGGTTAGATAACATCCACCAAAAGACGATTGTGGGATCTATGCTAATTTTTTTTTTAATTCTTCGTTTTATATTCGCCTACAAATAACAAGAGATGGGCAGATCTGATATTTGGATTCTATTTTAACAGATTGCGGTCAACAAGAGTGACAAAATGTCTATTCTTTTGAATCAGTTGTATGGTTCTATAAATAGAATCTGTTCTATAAATAGAATCTGTTCTATAAATAGAATCGAGTATGTTCTATATCGGTTCTATAAACAGAATAGAGTTGTACGATTATTTTTTTTTCTTTTCTCTCTACAATTCTTAATATTTATCATTTGATCAATTGGACGATATTCTCAATTGGCGATATACATTCAGCTGATGTTATTTAACGCACCCCTTTCGATCGGAATGCTAATGAGGGATGACTCTTAGCTAAGCTTTTCAAACATAAAATCGACTAGAACTTTCATGAAATACATATTTAAAATGACATATGGTCATATACTATACCTTTTTAGATTACAACAGAATATAACCCCTATTCCAAACATTAGAATCGAATTTTGGTTGTATTCTACAATAAGCTGAATTGGTTCGTGTGTGAACTACATAAAAAGGATTACTTTTCAGATATTGGCATCCCTCCTACATTGGCACAAACTATTCAATATTAAAAAGCGCTTCCATAACTTTGTCGAAGTGCTTTTAATATGTTTCAGGTACTTCAGCCACAAATGAACTGAAAGGCATTTAAATATGGTTTTATTGTGAAAGGCAAATTACGATCGTTTTGTTTCATTATGTGTGTTCAGTGATACGTTCTAGCGTGGGAAAAATCTCGAACCATGACGAGATCTTGCTATCGTAGTCAAGGACGCTTCAGGACGCATTGAAATTGTAACGGGGGGTCCCAAATAGGAACGTAATTCGCGTTTGTTCTAGACTGTCATGTTGCTGCATGTGCGTTTGTTTCGTAAATACGATATTTCAAAATGTGATTTAAGTACAGTAGATAAAACATGAGCAGCTGATCTTTATCTGATACACAAACTCGAGCCGAAGGCGAGCAACGGTGACATCTCGAATATCTTGCAATAAATATTTGGCATTAATTGCAATAATTCATAACTATCTATCTAATCGCAACTTCGAAGAGAAAAATAAATTCATACATTGCATTTTGACAATCGTTCCGATCAATATTAGCACTAACACAATCTCATAAAAATAAAATCAATTAAATACATTATATTTCGTGTTCGTAGCTTGCTTGCACGTAGTTGGATAATTGTCAAATTTGAAAGCAGTTTTTCAAACAACAGATACGCTCTGTCTAATTAAGAACTACTTTCGAGAATGACATGTGTGATCCTTTTTACTTGGACGCATAGAAATACTGACCCCACATACTTACAAAGGGAATAAGGGGAGAACGTCAATGAAAATTCTTTGGAGATTCTTTGCATGGCAATAAATTTAATGCATATGTAATTGCTCTTCGCAAATAGACAATTCTGAATTTGCACTCTTGAAAATAAGCAAGTCTCGCAAATCGAACGTTTCTGCAGATAACTTAGTGGTTGTTTACCATCTACAAGAAGGGTGGCAAGCAAATATTCGCGTTCCACGTTGGTTTTGCATCACTGGGGGGGGGGGGGG